TACTGTGGTGATTTGAGAAGCTTCTGTGATTGGCATGAGGGACGTAGGAAGGAAGCCGTGTTCACTTTCACTCTTAACTGCCAGCCATTGCTAACGCAATACCCCGTCCCTCTTGGCTTCAACTTCTAACGTCTTGCTCCCTGGAGTCACATTTGGCATTATGTCATAAGTCACAAGGGGCTTTGTTCTCTGCTAATTGGGGACTATCATTCCAGGAAATGGACGAGGGAGGGAGGAATGGGGTAATGTGCCATGAAACTGTGTTCCTCCCCTGTTCCCCTCCTGAGTCCCTGGGGCCTGTGCCGTTTTAGCAGAGGCTTTGAGTTAGAGAGAGAGAGAGAGAGAGAGAGAGAGCAGGCAGGGGAGTCAGGTGGTGTGGAAAATATAAGCAGAGCAAAATACAGTATAATCCCTAGTCTTCTGAACCAAATTTCTCCAGGATCAAACTAATTCCTACCTATCTGGCAGGAACAAAGTGAAAACTCTGTCCTGTGTTAGGAAGAGGATGATAACTGATTTGCCCATGCTTGGCTCTCCCTGCTTTACCAGTGAAACCAGGATATAGGAGTGTCACCCAGGACTATGTAGTGTTTGCTCGCTCCTTATAGTCCTCCTCCTCCTTCATATTAGTATAGAAATGTTTTATCTTGTTCCCCATCTTGTTTGTCTGTTTTCATGCTCCTGTGGTTTTCTTGCTAATTCTGCAAAGGCAGGGTCAGGGAGGCAGCCTTGGAAGAAAATAATTTATGCCAGTAAGGCTTAATCCTCTACATATGTCAGATTCTCTGGAGCTAGGATGTGGGAGGGAGGCAGGAAGGGATTTTGAATAGAAATGAAGATTACCACGAGCTTTTTTTTAGCCAGTTAAATACAGTACCATGTTATTGCAGTGGACGACAAAGCTGTTGGGGATAGGAGTGTCAGCGAGGAAGGTTGAGGAGTATGAGGAAGAGGGAGGGGGATATTTGTCCTAATGGGAGAAGGATCTCATTCTTGCTGAATGTTTGCCAAAGAACATCCGTTGTCTTCATGTTGTGATTGTTTTAATTCTTGAGCCAAGACAACGAGAAAGTACAGTAAACATTCTTAGCAAATGTCTTCACTCTGGTTTGTCCTGCATGGTCCAAGAATATTACCTTAATTGGCACTATACAGATGCCCCCAAATGTCCCTGGTTGGTTGGTGCAGAGGGCATTTGTCTCTGGATATGCTGGGAGGTGTTTGGACAGTACTGCCTGTCCAAACGCATCCAGAACTGCTCCCCCTGTATCTCATTTCCAACACAGAATGCCCTACCTCTTTGCCTGTCTCCTCTGCCCTTTCCTTGCCTTGTTCCCAGTCTCTCTTCCCTTTCTTCTTTGTTTTCTTTGTCCGTGGGGCATGGAGTAGTAGAGACGGACCACCAGAAAATTGTGTATATGGAAGTATCTTTAAATGACACTCACCCCCAAAGTGTGCAGATAAGCATGAAACAGTGCAGCAAAATATGAGCAGAATCTCCACTGAAGCAGAACAGAACAAATATATACCACCACCTGGCAGGAGTGTAGAAACAAGCAAACAAACAAACAAACCAGAAAGTAAGCATTTTTCTGCTCTGACTTGGTAACACTAGTTTCATTCCACCATCATGTGGACATCAGGATGTAGTATTGGGTATCATGGGTGTGAGGAATATTGAACAAATGCTCAGTGTGGACAATTATTGATGTGGGGTAGCTTGCTCTTAAAAAGCTCTGCCAAAATGTCCTTCTGCCTGGAAAACACCACATTTTCCATGTGGTGGAAAATTTTTCAATTTGTTGTGAAGAGATTGTTCAGGCTTGATTTGATCTAGGACCCACTTGTTCATCTTTCTGGCAGTCTAGGATATCCACAAAGCAGTCCCTGCAGCACCATACTTCAAATGAATCAATTTTGTTCCTGTCTGCTTTCTTTACTGTCTAGCTTTCACTCCCATACATTGATATTGGAAATATGATAGTGTGGATGGTCTTGTTCTTGGTCTACAGTGACACATCCTTACCTTTAATGATCTTTTCTAGTTCCTTTATTGCTGCCCTTCTGAGTCTCAGCCTTCTTCTAATTTCTCGGCCGTAGTCTCCATTTGTATTGCTGATTGAACCAAGGTATACAAAATCTCTGACTATTTCAATTGTTCCATTGTCAATGCTGAAGTTGTGTAGTTCTTCTGTAGTCATGATTTCGGTTTTCTTAATGTTCAGGTGCAGTCTTTCCTTGGCACTTTCTTCTTTCACTTTCACTTGAAGTAGTTTCAAGTCATTGCTGCTTTCTGCCAGTAAAATGATGCCATCTGCATAGCTTAATTATTGACGTTTCTCCCATCAGTTTTCACTCCTTCATCTGAATCTAGTTTGGCTTCTTGTATAATATGTTTGGGACGTGGGTGGCGCTGCAGGTTAAACCGCTGAAGCCTCTGTGCTGCAAGGTCAGAAGACCAGCAGTCGTAAGATCGAATCCATGCGACAGAGTGAGCTCCCATCACTTGTCCCAGCTCCCGCCAACCTAGCAATTCGAAAGCATGGAAAATGCAAAAATATGAGTAGATAAATAGGTAACACCTCAGTGGGAAGGTAAATGGTGTTCCATGTCTAGTCACGCTGGCCACGTGACCATGGAGGATTGTCTGTGGAGATGAGCACCGCCACCTAGAATCGGACACGACTGGACAAAATTGTCAAGGGGAACCTTTACCTAATTTACTATGATATGTTCTGTATACAGATCGAACAGATAAGGGGATAAAAATGCACTCTTTTATGATATCTTTGCCTGTAGGGAACCATTCTGTCTCTCCATATTCTGTTCTTACAGTAGCTTCTGGTCCACACTAAAAATTACGCATCAGAACCATTAAGTGCTGGGTCATACCCATTACTTTCAAAACAGTCCATAATGTAGTTTCTTATGAACTATGCAGTCAAAGCCTTTGCTATAGTCTATAAGCATAGACTGATCTTCTGCAATTCTTTAGTGTGCTCCAGTTCACCCATAGATATTTGCAGTTTGATCTCGAGTACCCCTTTCTTTTCAAAAACCAGCTTGAATTTCAGGCATTCCTCACTCCGTATAAAAGTTTTGTTGCAACACCTTGAACATCAGTTTGCTTGCATGGGAAATGAAAGCAATGAATAGTCTTATAGTTACCACAGTCTTTAGTTTCCCCTTTCTTGAGAATTGAAATGTATATTTTTTAAGTCTGTGAGCTAATATTCTAGTATTAAAGGTGCAACTTCATAAATATATCTCCAAATTATACAGGTTTGTGCAGACAACATCCTTCTACTGATCCTGAAATTAATGTTCTATCTATTGTTGAGCTGGATGATGTATAAGGCCAGTCTGAGATGCTAACCATGTTTGGTTGGCAGGAGTGAAATCCATTAAAAGAACGAGTTGCTGCATTTATTAATAATTCTTGTGAGAAAGACATTGTAGCAATATAAGAATCTGTCTTATACTGATCACACAGTACTTGAGTCAGATCATTAATTTCTTCATTAGAAGTCTTAGACAGGGTGATATCCCTAGAGTCATCCTAGATTTATATTTTCCTCAAATTAAGGAGATAGCATAACACATGGATTTTTAAAATCATCTATTCAAAATGCCTTAACAAATGAGGAATACAATCTGGTTTGTCCCCAACATTCAGTACCAGTTTCACTTGCCCAGTCTGAGGAATTAGTTAATCCGCAGGCATTGCAGCATTTTGAAAATCGGTAAAGACATTTTCTCTTCCATGGATAACTCGAAGTGGCCAGTGGTGTTTTATGAGGATTAAATTACCAAATGTACTCTACATATTTTGCCATTCTTATAATCAGTTATCTTTAAGTTTCAGGATAATGTTAGCTAATAGTAACAAACCTTCAGCAAGTTGTTCATTTCCATTGAGGATTTCCTCATCCATAGTAAATGAAGTTTCATAATATTTTTACATCTACCTGAATATGTTGAAATAATTCTTGTCATGCAGTGCTACTCTTAGGGGTGTGTAAAGTAAAAACATTCTTGTCATGCAGTGCTACTCTTAGGGGGTGTGTGGAGTAAAAACGTCTTTGGTCGTGTTCTGAATGTTGTTCTTCCTAACGTTTCGCCAGTCTCTGTGGCCGGCATCTTCAGAGGACAGCATCTTCAGAGGACCAGAGCACAGAGTGCTGTCCTCTGAAGATGCCAACCACAGAGACTGGCGAAATATTAGGAAGAACAACCTTCAGAACACGGCCAAAGAGCCTGAAAAACCCACAACAACCATTAGATCCCAGCCGTGAAAGCCTTCACGAATACATTGTTTTGTTTTCCCGTGAAAGCCTTCACAAATACATTGTTTTGTTTTGTTTTGTTTTCTGATTCTTTTGTGGGGTTCTTTGATTTTTGTACATATTTTTCTTTGCACCTCTTTTGGGTCATTCTGTTTCCGTTTTCCCCATTAGTGTTCTCTGGCACTTGTCCAAAACCAGCCCATTTAAAAAAGCAGAGACAAGGCAACAGAGTATTAGTCTACTCCTATGGCAGGCATCAGTACAACCAATAACCACCACGGAACAAAACAGTTACAATAAAAACACCACCAATATATGCATCTTTAATAGAATAAATGCACAGTAAATTAAAAAAGTCAGAGAAAACACCACATGTATATCACACAGGGCAAAGAACAAAATAAAACACACCCAGACATACATAGCCCTTTCTCCCGAAAACCAAGATAGCAAGCAAAAGGGAGAAAATATATAATCAAAGCCTCCACCGCCCCAGCATCTAGCACTTGATGCTCTGGTATGAACTTGATTGGGTAGTGGGATTTTCTTTTGCATAAACATGGATCAAATTGTGCTTTTAATCTGTTTTATTAACAAGTGGTACTTCCCCTCGCCTCTTCCTCTAATACTATCTTCATGCCATTGCTACTCTGTGTTGAGCCATCTCTGTTTCCTGCCAAATCTTCTCCTTTTTTTCTCTTTCTCTCCTGCCAGATGATGTTGTAACCTTTGATCACACAAGAAATGCTTCATTGCTGGTACCTGCAGTCTTTCCTGGAGAGAGCAGTGGAGCAGAAATAATTAAAGCATGAACAAAACAAAGCATCTCAGAAGAAGCCCCCTAGGCTGGGTGAGGACCAGGTGAGATAGTCGGCTGGTGATGGCAGATAATTAAAAAAAGCACAAACACCACAAGCACAAACCATGCCTATTGGACACAGTCTATGTTACAACTCAGACTAGTTGCAAATTATTACTGCAGCCCACTATTACTATTTATTACTATTACTGCAGCAGTTTGTGATTCCTATGTAATTTCTTGAATCATACTTTAATACCTATGTGCAGATACATGATATATGCATGGAGAGGTACATAGTTGCCATAGCTCAGTGGGTTGGAGTGCCTGGCTGCCAAGCTCAGCTGTTCACTGCACATAATAGTAAGCCAAAATTTCTAGTTTGCTGTGAATGACGTCTAGACCATTCAGACCTCCCTTTATCTAAGCAGGTAAAACAAGCCAGAAAGTGATAGCTTATTCTGACATCTGAAACTGGAATGTGATTTCTTGCTCTCAAACAAGACAGCAATAACAAAGTCAGGTTTAATGTGGGTTCTGATTTGTTTGGGAATAGCCAGGAATCGTGGCTTATCATCATGTGAAATCATTAGCTGTTCTCTCTTTCAATTATATCTTCCTTACAGGACAAGGCTGTATGGTCCTCAAAACAGTACAAATGCAAGAACAGGTGATACCTTTATTGGACCATTAAGAAAACAAAACAAAAACAAAAAACAAATCGAGCTTTCAATGATAATTCATCTTCCTCAGGCTGTATGGACACCCAAGTTCTCGTGGGTAGCTCCAAAATTTTATATTTTTATTAAAGTCCCCAAAATTTTGTGGTTGCTGTTGGAGGCCAGGTGTCGCTTCTTAGATTGAGATAGTGGCAGTCTGCAAGACACTTGTGGGGGAAGGGTGTGGTTTCAGTGCCCTCTTCAGTCAATGGTTTGGAATTTATAACCCAGCTCTCTAACCAAAAGGTGGCCAGTACTCTGCCCCCCCCTTCTTTCACCCCTTTCCACCTCCTTTTTTTCTGAACTGTGTATGATACCACAGAATGGGCAGCCAGGGCACCAACTGAAGACCAACATGAGTCCCTGATAGAGATGGGGGTATTTGTATTCATATACAATACAGACTCGTGGAACCAGAGGAGCAGTACTGAATGCTGAAGAAAGCCTCAACCAGGTAAAACTGTGGATTTGGCTTTAATTTGGCTGAAATTGGCTGTTCCTGGTGGATTAACTAAATTCTTAACCCCCACTCTGATGAGGCTTGCCATGCTTCTGTTATCCTACTTGTTTTCCCTAGCCAAATAGAAATTGTGGCCATTAAACTTTTGGGACTTTTAATATAAACATATAGTTTTGGAGCTACCCACGAGAACTTGATGCACAGCCTGAGGAAGATGAAGTATCATCAATCGCTTGCTTTATTTTTTGTTTTATTTTCTTAATGGTCCATTAAGAGTATCACCTGTTTCTGCACTTCCTTACAGGGGTGTTTAAATGATAAAAAAAGTAACTCCCTGTTTGCATAATAATTTGATGACTGAAATATAGATATAAAGTTTATTGTTTCTCCCTTTCTGATCTGTTGAAGTGGTTGTTGGGAATTGGTTTGGGCCTGCCGCCATTTATTTTAAAGGGACAAGCCTCAACTAAAGCATTCGTGCTATATTCAGAATTGAGGAACAGTATATGTATTTTATGCTTCTGAATGTCTGTAGCTGAACACAACATATTGCAGAAGAATATACTTTCTGACCTGTGCCAAGATTTAGCTTATCAGTTATTAAAATATGCCACTAAACTCAATGAATATTATTGAAGACACACATTATGTGCACACCTCTCAAGTTTTGTATGGGCTGCTATGAGTGTCAGATTGTAAAGTTCTTAGTATCATCCTCTAGGAGGTTTTTCCAGTGCATGTTAATGGTCACCAGTACGGTAAGTGTCGGCCCCCAATTTGAGAAGAAGTACTTTTTTGAATAATAACTTCCAGATTATTCAAAGCAGCATGCCACTACCCATGCTGATGGGGAGGGTTTGCTGGGAGTTACAGTCCAAAAAGGTAACTTTTCAATCAATCCTTGAACCTATGTGCCATAGATCTGACTTTGTCAAAGCATATAGAAGGGTGAGTGGTAGAAAGGACAATTGCATTCCATTCACTGCCTACACCCGCCAGCCCCACTTCTTACTCTTTCCATCATTACTGAGGTCACTGGCATGGATGGAACCAAAGCCTACTCATTCCAAAGTTGGTTCTGCATAAGAGGGAGGGAAGGCGTGCTTTTCTTCCTCTGTTTCTTCAGGCTAGATGATTTCCTCCTTTTTGCTTTTAACATGGGTTCTGGGGACAGAAGCCCTCCCTCTTCCTTGCAACCTGGAATTTCTTACAAAAAAAGCAAAAGGGAGGGGTTGTTCTTCTTCCTGCGACTAGTCCTGGGGACACACACTTCCGGGGATGGTAGACAGGTAGTTTCCCCTCCAATTGCAACATGTTGTTTTTCATGAGAGTAAACAGAAACCATTCACTAGATGATAGAGACTTAAAAAGTGTACTCAGAAACTCAGCAGACTGAAACCTGCTCCATCTCTCTCTCTGACCCCACTCCCTTAAGAATCAAGCTTGTTTCCATAGGCGTGGCTTCGGGTCTCTCTTGTTGTGGATGTTAGACACTGGAGATTGTCATGATTTGCCAGTTTCACATTGATTCAGCAAAGGGTAGCAAAGCAAGACATCAAGCCCCATGTTGTCTGCCTTGACTGACAGAAGCTTTGAAAACTGTTTCCCGGTCTTCCTCCTTGGGACTCTTCTAAGTCAGGTTATCTGGGAAGAAGTTGAGACACCGTATACTGTAAGCTTTTGTTTCAGCTACACCAAAATAGATGGTGAGCCTGCTTTTCTGGTGAAAGGCGACAATGCTCCCAAGGTTGGGGACCACTGCTGTAAGCTATTGTTTCAGCTACACTGAAATAGATGGTGAGCCTGCTTTTCTGGTGAAAGGCGACAATGCTAGTTGCAACAACTGTTGTGAACCACAAGGCTTAAGTGGAGCCCCTTTTTTTCTTCATGGGAATAGGAAGGCAGCCATTTGAGCCTGGGTGAGGGACATGTGGTTCTCCAGACGTTGTTGGACCAAATAAGGGTTATAGTCCAAAAATATCACAAAGCCCTGTGCTCCCTACCTCTGTTTTTGTGTAGTCTGGAGTTTACCTCTCTCTAAGGATGCTTCCAGACACAGTCACCCTGCTTCGTTCATGGAATTTTAGAGGGGGACTAGAGATCACCAACTTCAGTAGGTAACTCTGTAAGTCTCCCATGTTTTCCTACAGCTTCTTGAGCTTTCAAAACTCCTTACAAACAGTTTAGGAGGAAAAGATTGAATAGCTCCTGAATGTCTTTTGTTTGGTAGCTCTAGGAGCTGTCTGTCAGGAAACATGCTTAGTTTCTTCTTCTCCCCTCCCCCCCCTTGCTATGGTGGCCCCCTAACTGAACAGCTGCGATTCCGTTTAATTCCTTGTAAGGCGTAGGTGCATTGACAAACTTGAATCAGTTTTAGAATACTTTAACTTCAGTGACCCCCTTGCCTCCAAGACTCCACAGAGATATTAGGGAGAAGAAGTTATGTTTAAAAGAAGTACTTATATTAACATTAAATACAAGAAATGTTGTTATGTACCATCAAGTCACCTCCCATGGACAACAACCCTACGAATGAGCAATCTCCAAAATGCTTGGTCCCCAAGAGCCCGGCTCAGGTCTTGAAAACTCAACCCTGTGGTTTCCTTTGGGGACTTAGTCCATCTCATCTTTGGCCTTCCTCTTTTCCTGCTGCCTTCCACCTTTCCCAGCATTATTGTCTTCTTCAGAGAATCGTGCCTTCTCGGGATGTGCCCAAATTAGGACAGCTTCAGTTTTCAATATAAGATTATTGCAATTTTAAATATAAGAAAACTTATGTTTCAAATTGCAATCGATGAAGACATTAACATTAAAATATTTATTACAACAACAGGGTGTTAAAAACATTAATCATTAGAACAAGTTGAATCATATTTGAAACACCTGTTCAGTATATTTTTAGTATATAAAATATGCTTTTTAAAAAAATATAAAACACCATTTTCAGTGGGACTGAAAATTCTCTGTTAGGAGCTCCCCCCTCGTGCACCTTCCAGCAATGTATAAGACACAGGGCCCTCTGAGAAGAGGTAATGGCTGCTAATCTGGTCTAAACCTATAGGGATATACTCTGAGTATGCCATCTTCTGTTGCACCTGCCAGTCACCATTCAGCTCATCATCATACCCACACATTTTTGTTCATACAGAAAGTAATAGCACTTGAGATATGCTGGATTACCAGAGAAAGGCTTCTGGACAAGTGTCAATAGCTGTCATTCCTTGTGCTTGTTTGGAGACAGTTTCAATTATACTTTCCAGAATGTTCCCTCAGGTCTATTTAGATTTGAACTAGCAATCCCGTATCTGCAAGTGCAGGCTGGAGGTAAGATTCACCTTGGTGTTGTGATCATTGGCTGGACATCTGATTCTTCCACGGTCTGTCCCTGAGTGTTGTGTGTCTTCTTCTTTTTTTCTTTTTCTTTGACTTTGCAGGCTTCCTCTCTCTCTCTCTGTGGATCCCAGTGATGATTCTGGAGATGTAGCTGTTCTTTAATGTGAGTACCTGGAGAGCGGAGCCCTGCTGTCTGTGGCTCGGATTTCTGGAAACCGTCTGAGCAGCCTGGCGGCAACCCCCTTCATCATCTCACCCTCTTTCTTCTTAAAACATCCATCCTTTCGCGCTTCCGTGTCAATTTGCTATGACATACATCAGTGTTGATGAGAGACAGGAGCACTGTCGGGTCATTCTGAGCTGCCGAAATAATCAGCTGTACTCAAAACATGGCTTAAAGGACTGCTTGGTTGGCAGCATGCATCCACTAAAGAACTCAGACACTCGCGTTTTTACCAGAGACTTTAACCCAGTGAGCAAAGCAGAGACCACTGTAAGGGCACATCTGTATCGGAGTGTGGAGAATCTCCACTGGGCCACAGGGGCTGATTCATGTTGTCACCCCTGCTGTGGGAACATAGACAATGAACTTGTTTTCCATTACAAAGGCACCAGACATTGGTCCATGGAAGGTTCGCCCTCCTCCAGTTCACCTGAATGTTGCCAGTGTTTCCCCTTTCCACCAGAGCAAATGCCACCACCAGCACGGGACGTAGCTCTTCCTCCTAGTGCCAAAGTGCCTCCGTGGCTTTTCCCCTCCATAGACCGAGACGCCAGAAAGAACCTGAAGGAAAAACTTAGAATCCACAGTACGAAAACTACGGCGATTTGCAAGCCTCTCAGACCTCAGGCTTCCTTGAATGACCTGGTTGCGAGAGAGTGTTCAGAATGTCGGGCATGTCAGCAACATAAGAACGGTTGTTCAGTGAACTACTGCACCGTGTTTGCGCAGCATGCTAGCCTCATTCACGGTCCATGGATGGCACTTGGAAGGCATCGGCCATGCTTCTCTAGTCAGCTGACCAACCCAGAAGACATCAAACAAGAAGCCCAAAGAAGGTTGCAGATCAAGAGGCAGAACAGCTCACCCAACCTGACCCTTCACTGTTCCAGTGACAGCCAGCAGATGGTCAAATCCCGAACTGCCGGATCTTTAAAGGCACATGAGGGGGAAGGCTACACCAGAAGGACTTTGGAACAGAACAGAAAAGGAGACTGCAAAGAGAGGCTCTACATTCCCACTTTTGAAGAGTTCAAGAGGATGAGAAACCAAGGGACATGTTCTGCAAATGGAAGCAAGGAAACAGCAAAAGCAGTGGAGGAGAGGCCACAGAAGTTAGAAGGAAAAAGAAACCAGAACCTTTGTTCAGCTACCCAAAGGGATTTTGCCAAAGAATTGGTTTCAACCGTTGATGATTATGATGAAGTGTTTCATGAAAATGCCCCGAGTGTTTCTGGATTTGTGGGTTATCAAGATAGTTCATCCACCTGGGACAGGAGTTTCTGCCTGATGAACATACCTGTGACTAGGGACAGGAATGACGAGGTGTCAAATTCTGATATGATCCCAGTGGCCATTTGTTCTAGTCCAGTTCCAAGATCACCACTGCAATCTGCTGCTGTTGCTGGGGAGGAAGGAGAGAAGACCTTGGGTGAAGCGGAGAAACAAGAACTGGATGCAAGACAACTAAGTGAAGTCCTTCAACATGCTGGCCAGTCCCTTGCGCCTGAAACCCAGTCTTCTTGCTGCCCATTGCTACTGGAAGTGACAGATATATCCAGTTATGGAGCTAAGCTACAGAAGATGAAAGATGAATTTATAGGTTCTGCATTGGACATCATTAAGAAGAGGTAAAAAATTATGTTAGAATTCCTGGGAACAACTTCAGTTGAAGGATACAAATGTAGTTACAGAGTAAGATGGCATGAGCAAGTTCTAGTATTTTCTCTTTGAATTACCGTATTTTTCTCTCCATAAGTCGCACCTTTCCAGAAGACGCACCAACTTTTTAGGAGAAGAAAACAGGAAAATATAATCTGTTTTCTTCGCTCCATAAGACGCACAGACTTTCCACTCCCCTGTTTTGTGGGGGGAAAGTGTGTCTTATGGTGCGAAAAATATGGTAGTGTGCTGTAGAATGGAAGTAGCTTTGCCTTTATTTCCATAGAAACTCCCACTTTGGGCAAGTTGCACTTTCAGAAGCATGGAAAATTTCTTCCTCTGAGGCATTAAAACGTTATAAACAAAGATGTTATGGAGGGGCCCTGTGAATTTATACCAGAGAACAATGCATTGTTTCTGGTTTGGAAGGATGGACTATGGATGAGTCTTGACTAACTTGTGTCAGAAGCGTATTTATGAAACTTGTTTCTTGTAGGCACTCAGTGGTTGCGTTTGGATATACAGTAATGCTAAATTGTGGTTTACAGCCAAAATAAGGAACGTTTGTCTCTCCAGATGTTTTAGACTAAAACTCCTTTAATTCCTTATTATTGGCCATATGGGTCGAGTCTTTTGGGAGTTCAAGTCTAAAATATCTGTGGGCCCAAAATTTCCCTCCTCCTAGTTTTACTATCATGAAAGGAACCTTTTCATGATCTTCTACCCCTTCAACATGGTTCTGATCAGAAGCTTTTGCTTCCATCTTAGATTAACTGAACTTCACTATGCTCTTTGAATTCTTAATGTAGTTGATCTATTAAACTGTGCTGGTGGCGGAGGAATTGGATGGTAGCTTGTGTGCATGTGGGGAAGTTAGATTGATTCTTGTGATGCAAAACCATGGTTCAGCATTATAACCAAAGCAGCTGGAATAGCTCCTCATGTTCATTTTTTGTTGTTGTTGTACAAGTTTCTCAGTAGACTGAAAAGGAAACATCTATGGCCATTCTCAGAGAGAAGAAATATGCTTAGTGGAGATGACAGAAAACATCACAGAGTTTTCAGAATATCGAAGCTTCTGGTCACTCAGAAACATCTTTTGAAAAGTCAGGACCAGTGTTTCCAAAAGGACAGGTTCATGTCATCATCAGTGTATTTAGAAACCTATCAGGCTGCTAGATTTCAATAGTACCCATCTGAAGCCATTTATGGCACAGATCTGGTTGGTGGAAAGGATGATTCCTTTTGAGAGAATTGTACTATGATCTTGTGTGTGTGTCGTCAGAAGTAATCCCATTGAGTTCAGTGGGGCTCACTCCCCAGCTGAGTGTGTACTGAATTACATCCTAAATTTTGTTGTTGGGGGTAAGATGATAGAAGCAGAATATTCACTATTGTCATGTTTTTGAGGTCATACTTGAGTGACTATCCTTATTTGTTTATTTAAAAGGCTGATACCTTGCCTTGTCAACACATGTAACATCGGTGTGTAACACTGCAAGGCATCTTACAGTATAAAAGGTAAAGCAAAATAGAAACACAGCTAAGAGGAAGAACAAGAAAAGCATCAAAGTGGCAGAAAATATGGTGAAAACCAGCAGGTAAGGCCATCAGCGCCATCAAGGCCCAAAAGTGATAAAATGTTTGTTCAGTATTGAGCACCATTAAAGGCAGCTGACAACCCATAATCAGAGGGCAGAGAAGTTCAGCCTTGTGCTTGAAAAATAACAAAATTGGAGGCGCTGTCATTTCAAAGCAAATGGTGACCAACCCGGGAGTGATGAGGTATCATTCTTGCTCCAATTACTAATGCCGTGCCCTTTTGTGTTTTGTGACTGCAATTCCCTGAATTCTCTAAGAATTCCAGGAACTGAAGCTGGTAAACCCAAATTAGCACACCTGTAGGTTTTATCCCTCTAAGGCTTTAAGTTTTTCCCCCCTCACACCAGGCAAATTTTTCCTTGTTGATTTGTAAAAAAAAGAAAGCTGCCCTGGTCTTCTTGGGAATCATGGTCTCACTGCCCATTAAGTTTTATAGAGGGCACCTGCAATTACAACTTCCAGGAAACACTGTGGCAGCTTTCTCTTTCTTTCTTTCTTTCTTTCTTTCTTTCTTTCTTTCTTTCTTTCTTAAATCTACAACAGAAAGTTGATGATGCAGGGAGACCCCCCCCTCCTTCTCTGTTACAGACAATGCCCCCCTGCTCTGCTAACCTTCTCCCTGCCCCTTTAGAGCAAGCCACAGGTTCTGCAAGATGCAGAACTAACACCCGTTGAAGGATCTCATTTTCTTATCTCCATGTCATCCTTTTTGGGGGACCACCTTTGAGCCTTCCTTTTCTTTCCAGGCTCAGATTGCTTGCCTACAGATCCTCTAGGAATTCATTCAGCAAACCCATAAAGATACATTCCCCCCAAATGTCAAACATCTTTGACTTTGAGTGACCTTGAATTTAGCTTGCAAGGCTAAGTGGCTTCTCTTTTGCTGAGATAAAACCAAGCCAGGGTTTGCTTGAAATGCAGCCCTGGTTTCCCTGCTCCTGTGCTGCTGGGAGTGTGTGTCTCATATTGGGGATTAAGATTTTCAGGTCAGCAGCTGTGTTGTCACCAAGGAAATATAGAGAGGGAATATTATTCTCAGGATCCCATTTTGTCCCTTGGTGAGAGCAGAAATAATTCTGGGGTTGGTGTTCATTTAAGTAACATGCAGGATGGAGGCTGCTTGAAATTATGCCCATGTGGCAGTGGTTCTGTGGGTAAGATTGGACCAAGATATTCTTTTTACTTTACTTTTATTGGACTTTTACCCCGTCCCCCTCCCAGACAAAATCTACTCGGGGCAGCTTACATGAGTGATAAAACACAGGTAATAAAACAGAACAATAAACATACATAATAAAACCCTACCAAACTTTTTATATATACAGTATATTGCCAAGATGGAGTAATAAAGAAACAGAAAATAAGTTAGTTGACTGGAGGGAAGGCCTGCCTAAAGAGCCAGGTTTTTAAATGGCTTTTGAAAACGCCCAGTGAGGGAGCCAGACAAATTTCCGTAGGGAGGGTATCCCATAGCCGAGGGGCCACTACCAAGAAGGCCCGGTTTCTTGTTCTTTCCTTCCGGTCCTCTCTCGGCATTAGGCCCCTCAGCCATCCCTGCTGGCTTTGTCGGGTGATTCGGGTAGACCTACGTGGGAGAAGAAGATCTGCCAAGTATCGAGATATAAGATGCTTCAGCTTCCTGTTGCATCTGTCAAAGGCTCTGCATTCCTGGCTCAGGTTCTTGTTTCCATCTCCTTTTCTTATTTCACTGTTCCAAATCTTCCTGCTTCTGGTTGGAAGTAAAAAAAAACCCCAACAACTTAAAATGGATAAAAACATCTGAGGCATATCCATACTGAGGCCATAATCTAGAGAAAGAGACCGACACTGCAGGTCTATTCAGAAGTTACCCACTGAGTTTTGTAGGGTTAACTCCCAGGTAAATGAAGGGGGACGTGGTGGTGCTGTGGGCTAAACTGCAGAAGCCTCTGTGCTGCAGGGTCAGAAGACCAGCAGTCGTAAGATCGAATCCACGCGATGGAGTGAGCTCCCGTCGCTTTGTCCCAGCTCCTCGCCAACCTAGCAGTTCGAAAGCATGTAAATGCGAGTAGATAAATAGGTACCACCTCGGTGGGAAGGTAAAATGGTGTTTCCTAGTCACGCTGGCCACGTGACAACGGAAACTGACTTTGGACAAGCGCTGGTTCTACAGCTTGAAAACGGGATGAGCACTGCACCCTAAAGTCGGACACAACTGGACTAAAAATGTCAAGGGGAACCTTTACCTTTAAATGAATATAGGATTTCTATTTGAAAGTGGAAGAATTCGTGGTCTCTAACTGGTTCTGTTGATTTCAGCAGGACTTAAAATCACAACTAAAGTTTGGAGGATTTCATCTACCAGTTTCAAATTAGTTTTCAAATTAGTTTGAAACTAGCATGGTTTTCATGGCTTCCCTCAATGGGAGCGTTGCAGTCTTTAGCCATGTGACTAGTTTGGGAGTTCTCTGATAGCAATCTATAATTTCTTCACAAAAATGCATTTTCCTTGGTTTGTTGTTTGGGAGTCATAACAGTTGAACAAGTCTGAAAGCAGAGATGTGTCATTCAGCATGGAAACACTGGGAGGGATAAGGTGGAGAGGAAATTCCCACTTCACCCTGGATCAAGCGTGTCTTGACTGGAATATAGTCACTGTTTTGTTTGCCTATGTTTGATACCATTTCTCAGAGACAGTGTCACTGCTTGTTGGGGAGGAAAAATGTTTTTGTGGTTCCAGCTGTACTGATGGCTTATTTTGAACATTACAAGTTTGGCCCACAGGTATATCCAGTGGGTCGCCACGTTAGTCTATTGCTGCGAAACTACAAAGAGAATCTTGAATTTTATTTGGCTTAAGCTTTTATGGACTGCTGCCATCTTTACTGTATTAGATATAAAAGGATTCTTCAGCGTGCATCTAGTGAAGTGCAGGATAGAGTGCACAGTACCAGCTTTGCCCTATTCCAGTACCTCACTTCTGTTAATATACCACAGGCAACGTCTGCCTACCGAGAAAGACACCTCACCCTGCTCATTGATACAGTTGGCTCTGGAACAGCATCCAGGTGGATACAGTTTCAATTCATTCATTCATTTAGGTAAATCAGGCCTCAAAGAGAGTTTTCTGGGTGTGTTTTTTTCTTGATTCTAGCAATATTGAGAAATTCTGCAGAGTTAGAATTATGCACAGTAGATCTGTGCTTTGTTTTTAATTTCCTAACAGCCCACTGGTGTTTATATAATTGATATGTAAGCACCTTAATATTTTAATATTCAGCCGCCATGTTACCGTCATGGAAAAATCTAAAGCCATTAATGAATTGCTTAATGTTTTGGGCTCAAGCAAAACAAAGCATGATTGAAAAGGGATAGAGATTTGCTACCTGTTTTCCTCTTTGGAATATAAATTGTGTTTACAGGCTATCTAAGCTAGCTTTCCCTGAAACTAATGCCATCCCAGATGCATTATTCTTCCACTGCCATCATAACTGGTTGCATATTATGGGAATTCTAGTCCAGCATGACTAGAGCTGAGCTGGCAGCTCTAAACAATCTCATTATGGAACCTGGGCAGTCTTAAGCAGCATCTTGGTAAATGGACAAGAGCTTGGGACTTAAAACCCATGAGGAAAAGATGAGCATCTTAGAGGATGATGCTTACAGACAGGGGAGTCCCAAGATTAAGGGTTTTTTTTTCTTTTTGATGATACCCATTAAAATAATGCGAATAAAAGACATTCTTTCTCTCTCTCTCTCTCTCTCTCTCTCTCTCTCTCACACACACACACACACACACACACACACACATTGTTCAGTGACGCAGAAGTAACTGGAAGCTGGAGCTTCCTTAGGCAGTTAAAGGTAGAACTGGACTACTGACGATCTACAAGAGATGAATTAGATGGGGTGAAGCATGGGTACAGTTTTGTTCCCAGAAGCCATTCTTTGGACTGCATTCCTCCTAAAACTGAAAATAGTTGCAGCGTTCAAAAGCAATCAGCCTACTGAAAACCTGAGGCACTTCTATTTTGCTATATTCTATATCGTCTCCTATGACTCCAGGCCAGCTTTTAACCCGACCACTTCTGTCAGGAACCGCAGAGTGTTCTTATCCAAAAGTCGCCAGTCATATTTTGATTCTTTGCCATCCTGTCACATTCTGTTACCTGACAGAAGAAAACAGCAGGCAGTGGAAAAATGGGAATCCTGCAATAGCAAATAATAAAGATAAATATGATGGTAACCATAAATATGGAAATATGTGTATGTGCATTTGCAGACAAAGGAAGATGGTCAAGGAAAGTTACTGGTAGCTTCCAATAATAAATGATTTGCCCATCATATAAATCAGGTATGGGGAATGTGTGGCCCTTCAGATACTGCCGTACTACATCTCCCACTGTTGTTCACAATTTGCTGTGCTGGCAAGAGCTTCTGAGAGTTTCAGAACAACAAGATCCCTGATCCTATGTCACCTTCTGTCTCTTGACCATTAATTCACAATTTGCTAGAACAAGGCTATGTAGGGAACCTGTAGGTTTCTGGATGTCATTGGACTCAACTTCCAATCAGCACAAGTCAACATTTTCATTAATTAGTAGTGATGAGAGTTGGAATCCAACAAAATCTGGAAGTCCACAACCACCACCCCCATGCTACCAGACTGCATAGTATATTACACATCAGAAATATTGTACTATCCTTTTGGTGAAATAGGGCCTTTGAGTTGTCTGATCACATACTGTCATCAACTCCAACCTGAATTTCCTCCCCAGAAGGCAGGATTATCTCTGCATCAACTCTTTACTGATCAATCCAAATCCCAGTGTACCACCAGCTGAGAGCTAGTGAGGGAGTCACGTGGCCTTTTGCTGTCTGCAGATCCGATAATGCCAAATAGTACAGGGAACTGAGCCAAGGCACATGGAGAATGCATATGTATATATTCTCCAAGGTCACAAACTGATCAGAGTTTGAACAGTTACTCTGGTATTTTTTTTTAACATGTAATCTGTGGTTCCTTTGCATATATTTTAAGATTACACCTTTGGCGTGTTACTGCAGCAAGGACTTTGAAATACAATTTCAGCCAAAGTGTGCAACAAACTAATGGATGAACTAGCACAGTTTCATAAGTAGGCGGCTTCAGCTTATTTGCTACCAGCTATTTAGCTCGTGGGATATTTGTATATTGTATGCTTCGGCCCCCAAATGTTGATGAATGACATTGGCCTGACTGTCAGGGACTAATGGAAGTCAAATAGCAGCTGTTAAGCTATAGCAATAACTGTTAACCTATAATAATATCCAGTGCCACAGTCAATCTTAAATCATTATATTTCAACTTAAGACTGCATAGTGTGGGGACTAGAGATTGGGGTATTCGTATATGAATACAAATACCCCCGCACAGGTGGACATAACGAGGGTCTGGCCCCATGGGGGCGGAGGGTCCACTCACCATGCTGGTGCTGCTGCTGCGACCTCCGCAGAGCCTCCAATGGCTCCAGAGATTGTGTTCGGCGAGCCACTCTTCAACTCTAGCAGAGAGGCTTGTCGTCCCACCTCCTGCCAGGAGATGTGAGCCGAACGTGATCTCTGGAGCCATTGGAGGCTCTGCGGAGGTCATGGCAGCAGCAGAACGGTGAGTGGACCGTCCGGCCCCATGGGGCCAGACCCTTCTTATGTCCACCTGTGCAGGGTTTTTGTTGTTGTTTAGTCGTTAAGTCACGTCCAACTCTTCATGCAGGGGTATTCCTATAGAAATACAAATACCCCCATCTCTAGTGGGAACATGTATATTCATATGTGATCTTTCTCCTGCTCTCTTGTCTCTTTTCAATATATATTACTAGGTAGGAGAGAATGAGTTTGAAAGAGTTTCACAGGCTACCATTTTGTTTCCAGGTGGTTTTGGACTCTAGAGCCCCAAACAAACTGGGAACAGCTGACCCTGTATGAACCTGTCCAGCAACTGAGATCTACCACAGAGAGCCTAGTCAAATGCCCTCGTCAGGAGTTTAGTTTTTTGTTTGATTCAGTGCTGCCTCTTCAATTCCAGACAGTTGGTTATAATTTCTATGTGAGCTGTGCTATATACGGCTTTAAATTGTTTAAAAAACTGTATAGACATATTAAAGCTGAATAAGTAATGTATTTTGATATGCATTATATAGTATCATTCCCTTTCTCTTGTGTCTTGAAGAATTACAGAATTTTTAGTATTCTTTCATTTCTCTGACTGAAATCTATTGATAGTTGCATAAGATTGATGTAACTTGCTGTTGTTAATGTTGTTAATTTTAGCTAATGAACAAGATGCCAGGGCATATCTTTCTTGAGCAGTCAGGCACATGACCAAGCGTATGACTGAGATGTGCCCTCACACCTTCACCATGAGCTGCAATTAGCCACAGCAAGTTTTCACAAACGTTACACAAGCAACAAAACAAATCCGGCCACTGTGCCATGAATTAGTGAATCCTCCACCATTCTAGAAATTCAGACTGTCCTTCAAATCAACAAATAAATTTTTGATGCTTTACGAAATAGTGTTGGTAATAACTGAATTAAAAATCCCTGATACAATGAAGAGGGGCTCACATGTAGGTTATTAAAGTGACCGGTGTTTTTTGGTGGAGGAACTGAATGGAGGACAACCATCCAGAGTGGTACATGCCCTTCAATACCCATTTTTTTGGGAACCCAACCAGGAATTTTTTGGCTCATGCCTTGCTGGTGGGCTTCCCAGAGGTATCCAACTGGCTAACTTGTGAACAAAATGCTGGAGAGATCAATCTTTGGTCTGGCCTGCTGCAGTACCTCTCACAGTCTTAAGAAAACACTCCTGATTCAGTTTTCTCCTATGATTTGCAATAACTTTTTCCAATCAAAAGTCCTTTCGTGTGGGAGGCCCTTTCTTGGGGGCCACTGCCTCAACCTCGTGTAAAAAATGAGCAAAGCATACATTTCTTGTGCTGTTAACATATAGAAAGGTTCTTAAATTCCTGTTATCATTCATGAATGTATGAAATGTATATTTAATTCCTGGAATGCATGAAATACATGCTAAGTACAATTGCTGTTATTATTGCAACCACTGCTAGACTTATGGGAAGTAGCTACTTGGTTTTGCCTTCTTGGATATCCTTTTCCCTCATCATTTATGGCTGCAAATGAACAATTCAAAGAGAGAGCCAGTACAGTTTAGTGGTAGAGTTTTGGACTAGGACTTGAGAGACGGGTTCAAATCCTTGTTCAGCCATGGAAATGCATAGGATGGCAGGGCACTGGCAAAACCATTCCTCTGATATCTAAGATATCTCAGAAATCTCACAAGGGCCATCATAAGTCGGAATCACATAATAATTATGGGAGTCTCTTCTTGTATTTGTGGCTATTAAGAGAAAGTTGTCTCTTGTCCGACTACAATATCTAAGAGGAGTGAAAAGAATTTTTAAAGTGCAGTTCAAATACTACTTTTATACAGAATTTTGAAGGGGGCCAACGTTTAAATGTAGCAATGAATTTCCATAAGAGTACAGTATAGCAACTGTAGCTGGATGGAATATTGGGTGGCATGTTCAGAACAAAAGAAAGCAGCGTTATTGATTTTACAAGAATCAAGAACAATGTGTGGAGCAAAGATTTGTGCTTGGAATGTACTGTATATGTAATCTGTCACGTGTACATCAGCTGTACCTTCATGAGGAAGTGATTTCCTCTCTGCTGCTGGAGTTAGTGCTCGAGTGCTGCTTGAGCATATTAATGGAAATGTCTTCCATTCCTTGTAGTTGCACTGCCGAAACTGACCATGAGCCTTCCTCCAAAGGATCATGTGAACGTAAGAAGTCCGACCTCACATTTGCGGAGGAATGCCCTCAGTCCACGGTGAGTTGCTTGGCTTCAGGCACGAAGGACTTTTAAGAATGTTTTTGCTTTAATACATTTGTGCCCCATATGTCCTTTAAAGCGCTCGAGGGACATGGTATTCCTCCCCATTTTTATTCCTTACAATGACCATGTGAGGCCGTGTAGGCTAAAAAATAATGTTTGGACTGAGTTGT